CGCTTTTGAAAGACTTATAGAGACCCACCGCGACTATGTCGGCGAAATTATGGATGAGAACGCAATTTGTGAGGGTCAACGCTATCTTGAAGATAAAGAGAGAAAGGTCCTTGTGTTCCGTCAGCAGATCTTCGATTGAATAGCCAAGACTGAACGCAAACTGTTAGCAGAATTGCTTCAAGTAGATTCAGCCGTGAATCCCGGGGATTGGATTAGTTGTGCTGGTACACCGATTCGTTCTGGTGCTTCCAAGGTTTCAAAACATTCAAGTCGAGCAAGTTCGCGTGGTGCCCTTGCTTCAACAGTTTGAGCCGCAAAAGCCAAATAAGCTGCAAGAATTGCCGAGTTAAAAGCCGGAATTTCTATGCTCGAAAAGTGCCAAGCACTCGAACAGAAAATGTCTCGTTTACAGCAGGGAGAGTTACGACTTTAACTTCGAAGCCAAAATAGTCAAGACAACAGCTAACGAGAGAGTCTAGACAGTAATGACCACCCCTTCTCTACCAGAGCTAAAGCCTATAAAAGTGGAGACAGGGCTCCAGGTTCAGGATCCACCTGTTACCAGCCCCCACGCAAAAACAACTATTCGAGGAGAGGTGCACCACCCAGGCCAGGGCGTGTCCGTGGATTCTGTTACTTACGCCGTTTACTGTCAGAGAGAATCTGAGAAAGGAAATGATTGGCTTTCAGCGGCAACAGACTGTCCTTCAGCTTCAGCAGAATAAAATAATGGAACTACTAGCGCACAATCAGAAAAGAACAAGCCTCCGCAGCCCCGCGCTTCTGTGTTTGACGGAAACCCTATTGAGTACCCCACTTTCGTTCGCGCTCTTGAAAATTTGGTTGAATCCAGAACTTTTAGCAGTACCAATAAGCTTTTTTACCTTCAGAAGTTCACTGCAAGGGACGTTAAGGAACTTGTAAGATCCTGTCATCATTTACCAGCGGCAGAAGGTTACGATGAGGCTCACAGGCTTTTGAGAAGGAAGTATGATGACGAATATTGAATAGCATCCGCTTACGAGATAAAGGCTTTCGACTGGAGGCAGACGATGGTGTGGCTTTGAATCGTTTTTTAGTCTTTCTCGTAAGTTACAAGAACGCATTGGCAGGTAGCGAGTACATTTCTAACTTTGATCAGCCAGGAAACATTCAAAAGTTGGTTCTCAAGCTTCCTTACAACATGAGAGAAAAATGGCGTCGCTTAGCTGATGACATCATGGACAGACAGTCGAGATCAGTGCAGCGCAGTTATTTCTTGCCCTTGTTGATCGCGAAGCTAGAATAATAACCAACTCAGTCTTTGGCAAGATCTCCATACGATCACCGACATCTTACTTGTTCGTGACCCTCTTGTATCCGATTTGGACTAGAACGAGTGGATTAGCCTCCCAACCCTCTGCATCAGGCCCGAGATTCCTGTGTCCAGCAGCGACATTCCAACTCAGGAGGACGTTGATCAGTGGCTCCACCTACAAGGAGTTTTGCAGCTTTGTCTCACTGCTAAGGTTCGCTTTTTAATCTCTAGTGTCAAACCCAAGGTTCTCGATCCTCTTGAGATCAAACACAGTCAGGACAGTGGTCTTGGCTTCACGAACGCGATCGGTTGGGCAATCCCTTATGCTGGGCAGTCCCTTAAGCCGTAGTCACCACAATTCATGGCCATCAAGTTTTGCTGCTAAAGTTGATCACCAGCTCCAGCAGATGATAGAAGATTTTTTCAATCGTGTTTTTACTGATCCCATCATAATACTAGTTTATTAAAAATCGCTTCGCAGCTCGAGGGCTGAATTATGCAATTTTTTTAACAAAGTACAAACTTGTAGGAAAAAAACTACATTAAAATATATAATATAAAATATTGTAAATCTAATCAATAAGTTAAAATACAACAGAATTTAGAAATTATGTATATCAACATATTTACAATTTGTTCAAAAAATTAAAATTAAAAGGTGGTATCTATCTCGCCATTGCAAGAATAAGAGAGTTCTTCTCCCCATTAGTACAGACACGTGGAATGTTATAGGTGCGATTGTTTCTCGGACTATACCTAAGATTGTTACGAGGCGGCAATAAGTTGAAGAGATTATGATTTTTTCGGAAGTAATACTGTTGAAAGATGTGCTGCACAGTTGGCAACTATCGCAAAGAACTGTTAGCCCACATCTCTAATATTTCCAACAACGGTTTTTCATCAGCTCTGGTTGAAAATACTGTTCAGGAACTTAAAGGTAATTATTACTTGCACTGTTTACAGACCTCTAGATACACCGTTAACCTGTTTGGAGGACGATTTGACTGCCACTTTGATTTACGTGCGTTATCTCTGGACAAGCCTGTGTAAATAATTAATGGGGAACTTAAATTGTAGCGGAGCACCTTGGGTAAGAAAATGTGGTCATCTACTCATCCAAGAAATTTTGGTAATCACGTGACCGTACGCCCGTCCGTCCATCCGTCCGCACCACAGGCGAAAGTACCAACGTGTTATGCGAAGCTGAGCCAGGGATGGCAGCTGATTGACCCAAGACCTGCAACTGACGAGGAAGCTCTCTTCTAAAGGCTTATCCCAATCCAACTATGTCTTCCAGATGTCCTGTATTAGTGGTAATGGTTTCGAGTGCTGAGAAGCCAAGAAGATCCAACAAGGAACAAATGGAAGACAGGATTCCTCGCTTTGCTCCAACAGCGAAACAAAGTCACCTCAACAGCGAAACGAAGTCACCTCGCTAAACAGAAAGAGTATCAAGGAATTTTGTAGTAGTGCAACATCTAATTCGAAACACCCTGGGGAGTTCTGGCAAACAATGAAGCCATTACTCTCTAATTCGTCCCTGTCCAAACAGAACAGAGTGACATTAGTAGAGGATGGCAAAGTTCTGACGGAGCCCAGTGAAGTGGTGGAGGTGTTCAATAGCTACCTTGCGTCAGTTGCTGTACCTGAAATCCATCGCAGCAGCGTGGAGGATTTCAGTTATCACCCGACTGTTCTTGGAATTGCGTCAAGACAGGTGTTGGAACACCCATTCACCTTTAAACCAGTAAGCTCCAGTTATGTGAAAGAGATTCTAGATGATTTAAATCCACGAAAGGCGGTTGGCGCCGACATTTCAACGCGTCTTTTGAGGCTCTCGGCACCAGTCATGGCCGAGGAGATTACACGCTTGGTCAACTTTTTGATTGCTAATCGCTCTTGGCCAGACGAATGGAAGTGCGGCAATTTGACACCCGTGTTCAAGAAGGATGAGGTCACGCGAAAAGAGAACTATCGCCCTGTGTCGGTCCTTACGGCGTTGTCAAAGGTCTATGAGAAAGTTATGTACGATCAACTTTATAACACTTTCTGTCGCCACTTGTTACAAAACCTCTCTGGATTTCTAAAAAACCATTCGTGTTGCACCACTCTTCTGAAAATGACCGAGGATTGGAGAAGGAGCCTTGACTACAGAGAGTCAACCACGGC